TTCAGTTTAATCATGAAAAGCTGTTTGAGGTGAAGTGCCTTCTTTAAGAGGAGGCCAGAAAATAGAGAACAATCAGTTTTATTTATAGATCCTTTGACAATAAAATCATATAAAATCCATTATAAGATTTTTGCATTTAAACAATAAAACAGTAAACATCATTGAAATATTGAAGTGTCGCAGCGCTAATGAGATTTTAAAGTGTTAAAATCCAGTCTGGAGAATGTGGGTGGAGCCTGGATTTAAGGACAGGCATGTCAGGGGCAGCTTGGTCTAGAGTCTGGGTCCAGGACTGAGAAGGACCGGTCTCTCGGTGTTTGGACTGGGCAGACCAATCTTCCAGGAGGAGCTGAGATGAGGACCTGATGATCCGCCCGAGTCTCAGACACAGAAAACTGTCAGAAGTTTGTACAAGAACAAAGAAAAAGATTTAAATAAACATCAAGACAAAAAATAAAACAACGACTCTACAAGAAAAAAGTCTCACATCAAACTATGTTCAGGAACTACTGCTACTGCTACTACTGCTACTGCTACTGCTACTGCTGCTACTGCTACTGCTACTGCTACTGCTGCTACTGCTACTGCTACTGCTGCTACTGCTACTGCTACTGCTACTACTGCTACTGCTGCTACTACTGCTACTACTGCTACTACTGCTACTGCTACTGCTGCTGCTACTGCTACTGCTACTACTGCTACTGCTACTGCTACTGCTGCTACTGCTACTGCTACTGCTACTGCTGCTACTGCTACTGCTACTGCTGCTACTGCTACTGCTACTGCTGCTACTGCTACTGCTGCTACTGCTACTGCTGCTACTGCTACTACTGCTACTGCTACTGCTACTGCTACTGCTACTACTGCTACTGCTGCTACTACTGCTACTACTGCTACTACTGCTACTGCTACTGCTGCTGCTACTGCTGCTGCTACTACTGCTACTGCTGCTGCTACTACTGCTGCTACTACTGCTACTGCTGCTGCTACTACTGCTGCTGCTACTACTGCTGCTGCTACTACTGCTGCTGCTGCTACTACTGCTACTGCTGCTACTACTGCTACTGCTGCTGCTACTGCTGCTATTACTGCTACTTCGACTACTGCTACTACTACTTCTACTACTACTACTGCTACTACTTCTACTGCTGCTGCTACTACTGCTGCTGCTGCTACTACTGATACTGCTGCTGCTACTACTGCTACTGCTGCTGCTACTACTGCTACTGCTGCTGCTGCTACTACTGCTACTGCTACTGCTGCTACTACTGCTACTGCTACTGCTGCTACTACTGATACTACTGCTACTGGTGCTACTACTGCTGCTGCTGCTACTGCTGCTACTACTACTGCTACTGTTACTGCTACTACTGCTGCTATTACTGCTACTTCTACTACTGCTACTACTACTTCTACTACTACTACTGCTACTACTTCTATTGCTACTACTGGTGCTTCTACTTCTACTGCTAGAACTACTGCTGCTACTACTTCTACTTCTACTGCTACTACTACTAATACTGCTACTGCTGTTAATACTGCTACTGCTATTACTAAAACTACTTCTACTACTGCTACTGCTACTGCTACGATTCTATTTCCTGTCCTTAGCCGTGGTCTGTGGCCTCTCTCTCACAGTTGTCATGTTGTGATATTGTTTTCATCTCTAAAATGAATGAGCACAGAAAGTATAAAGGCCAATTGTTTAAAATATTAATCACCAGTGCGTTAATCAGAGCAGGAGGTGGGGAAACAGAGACAATGGGCCATACATTCTGTCATTATACAGTATTTAAATATGAATACAGATGTCAAATGAAAATGAAAGCCAGATCTCATTTTCGAGAGGGTCCCATGAGCATAAAAATATACACTACATACAACACAATACTACATTCAGCGAACATATACATATATCTGTATACAATAGTCATATACAGGCCACACAGCAGCTCAAAGTGGAGACCTCAATGGAATCCACAATGGTTTAACAAAAGCCACAGTTGTAATGGACTCCTGCCCTTTGACCTTTCTCTGTGCACTTCCTCCTGGCTCAGTGTCCGTGGGCGGAGTGCAATATTCCATTTAATGATGTCCAATGAGGATTTGCCGTAATGAAGATGGAAGACCGCAAAAGACAGAGGATTATACAGGACTTATCACACGGCTCCTCACAGCAGCAGGAGAACGCTCCATTGATTTTAATGTCATTTCAAAACGTTCTAATGGTCATTATTTTCTATAACGGACCTCTCAAAACAATAATGACCGCTGCCCTTTGGCAACGCACTCTCTGCTTGTATTTCAGATGCGTGGATAACTCCGCAAGTATGTTCCGGCCACTCCGGAGCTAGCCACGCTCAATAAACGCAAATACCAATCAATCAACGCAATGAAATGTTAATCGGAGAATACATTATACAAATACGTTCTTAATACAAGTGCACGGAAGTTTTCAGAATTTTCCATTTACGTTTTCATGACAAAAACACTGATGTAATGCGAGAAAAGGCGATCCCGAAAAACCCAGAAGTAAATACCGGCACATTTTAGGAACATTTGCAGAGGATGGAATTATGGATTTAGGTTAAGTTTATGTTTGGATCATTCACCGCTGATGTTCAGGATTCTGTGTTCAGTTTTCATGCAGTTCCAGAGAGTTCTAGTTTGGAACTTTTGCTAGCCTAACTGTTGCTAGCATAGCCACGGGAAAGCCTTTGGGAACTATTTTATTTTCTGTCATTAAATAAACCTTTCCGCATTCCTAAAAGTGGACTGAAGTTTATCTTTTGTGTTCTGTTGGTATAAAGCCGTCGGGGTCCGCTTCGCCCTGAAGGTACTTTTTCCAATAATGACCTGCGTAATATACATTATCCCTTACGTATAGAAGACATAATAATAATAATGCATCGGTTTTATACAGCGCTTTTTTGGACACTCAAAGACGCTTCACATGTCATTATTCTTTCACTCCAAACACGGTGGTGATAAACTACTACTGTAGCCACAGCTGCCCTGGGGCACACTGACAGAAGCGAGTTAAACTAAAACAAAATTTTATCTAGAACATGAAGTTCAACCCAGAAAAATCAACTTAATAGCTATAAACAAACAGTTCAGATGGATACAGTAGATACAAGTCTGTTTTGTCTTTTGTCTTGGCTGGACATGGACCTTGTGCGATGACAACCATTAAAAAACCATTGATTCTTGGGTTTAGACTCCACATGACTGCCTGCATGTTGTTAATATGTCCACAATTTCATTTGGCACGGAGCAGTAAAGCTGCCACTGTCTGGCTCTGCAGATTTGGATAATGGATGGATGTTTTCAGGAGCAATTTAAAGGCAGAGAGCTGCATGTATCCGCAGGGTGTGTAGTCCCACTGATACTCTGACGCCTGATCCATCTTCATTGACTGACTGAACACACTGCAGCGAGCTACTGCCTCAATCTGAGCCAAAACACAAGGTCAACGTCAGGACTGGCCCAGCGCACTCCCAACAGAGCCACAGGGAAGTTACATGGAAGTGTGGGTCTTAGAGAAGCAATATGTAAGATTCTTATGTCGAGTCATAATTAAAGGACCCTAATCTGTCATCATTAAAGGGCCCTAATCTGTCGTCATTAAAGGGCCCTAATCTGTCGTCATTAAAGGGCCCTAATCTGTCGTCATTAAAGAGCCCTAATCTGTCATCATTAAAGGGCCCTAATCTGTCATCATTAAAGGGCCCTAATCTGTCGTCATTAAAGGGCCCTAATCTGTCGTCATTAAAGGGCCCTAATCTGTCATCATTAAAGGGCCCTAATCTGTCATCATTAAAGGGCCCTGTCATCATTAAAGGGCTCTAACCTGTCATCATTAAAGAGCCCTAATCTGTCATCATTAAAGGGCCCTAATCTGGTCGTCATTAAAGGGCCCTAATCTGTCATCATTAAAGGGCCCTAATCTGTCATCATTAAAGGGCCCTAATCTGTCGTCATTAAAGGGCCCTAATCTCTCATCATTAAAGGGCCCTAATCTGTCATCATTAAAGGGCCCTAATCTGTCGTCATTAAAGGGCCCTAATCTGTCATCATTAAAGGGCTCTAATCTGTCATCATTAAAGGGCCCTAATCTGTCATCATTAAAGGGCCCTAATCTGTCATCATTAAAGGGCCCTAATCTTTCATCATTAAAGGGCCCTAATCTGTCATCATTAAAGGGCCCTAATCTTTCATCATTAAAGGGCCCTAATCTGTCATTGTTAAAAGGCCTTCATCAGTCATCACTAAAGGGCCCTAATCTGTCATCATCAAAGGGCCCTAATCCGTCATCATTAAAGGGCCCTAATCTGTCATCATTAAAGGGCCCTAATCTGTCATCATTAAAGGGCCTTAATCTGTCATGATAATAAACTTCTCTTTTCCAATACTTCTTTAACTGATAACAGTAGTTCAGAAATATTTGAATTTCTAAATTACTTTCCAGCCTCTAAATCTTGTTATAGTTTTCATTTTGATGTCCCGCCCTCCACCGTTTCACCAATCAGAAAGTCTGTGATCCGGGCGCCAGAACTCACCGCGTGGAGCTAATCTCACTGGTAAAGTACCATGTGGCGCAGAACTAAAAAAGGGTCTCGTTATGATTCTCAAATCATTAACGACAAAACAAGGAATAAAAGCAGGATTTCTATCTTTGTGAAAAAGGTGTTGGTTATAGATTTGTTGTTGACAAAACTCTTGTCTATTCAGCTGTTATGGTCCCAGCTGGATTCGGAGTGTTTTATGCTTAGACTACCGGAAAATTAATGTCTGAATATGACAAGATTAAAACATTTGAGACATTGATATCTATATTTGCAATAATTATGTATGAACAAAATACTACAGATATATTTTACATGAGTTAATATTAAGATGACCTCTGTATAAATACCATCCAGAATGACAGTTCCGGTAAAATCCCTGTTCAAGCACAAACCAGACGTTGGTTCACGTCTGTTTCCTCAGATGAAGGAATGGAGGTGTTCCTGGTTGTCAGAGGTCACAGTTTGCCCCGGGGCAGCCAGAGCGACATGCCACTGCCACCAAAGTGAGTGACAGAGAAGTGGATAAATAATACAGCACACAACAAAACAGGATGGCTTTGACATTGGAGATACAGTCTGTAGAAAGTCTGTGGAATGTGGGAGTCAAAAGAAGAAGAAATGGGGAGAGATTGGATCAACATTATTATCGCTCTGGGACCGTGTGGAAGAATATTCTCTTTAAAGACTTTCCTTCATTACTGTGGCCTGACTTCACAGCCTTCCACGGCTCTGCACAGCCTGGACTGGAGCTGTTCCGTCTTTCTCCGGTGTGGAGGCTCTGGGGAGGCCATAAACCCAAATTACCATGATCTGCTCCAAAAGGCTCCTGCTTCACCGACTGTAAGAGGAACGCGTGGTTTTAGTGTAAATCCAGTGAATATAATGGATTCTGGCATGGATCGGCTCGGCACGGACCCTCGGCACGGACCCACGGCACGGACCCACGGCACGGACCCTCGGCACAGACCCTCGGCACAGACCCTCGACACGGACCCTCAGCAAAGACCCTCGCCATTCCCCAATCACAAGGGGGTCATTTAGATCAATACCAGTACCTTTGATAGATGAGTATCAGTACCTTTGATAGATGAGTATCAGTACCTTTGATAGATGAGTATCAGTACCTTTGACAGATCAGTATCAGTACCTTTGATAGATCAGTACCTTTGATAGAGGAGTATCAGTACCTTCGATAGATGAGTATCAGTACCTTTGATAGATCAGTACTAAATAAACATTGATTTACCATCCATCCATCTTCTTCCTCTTAATCCATTTCTGGGTCGGGGGTGGCAGTCAGAGCACCAGCCCCTCACTGATCCTCCTGCTTTCTGTGGGGGTTTCAGGCAAAGTGGGGTTAAGTGTCTTGCCCAAGGTCACAACGACAGCAGTCATCAGTGGGAGTCGTGAAGTAGGTCTTGCAACCTTCAGGCTCAAAGGCCACTGCTCTACCAACTGAGCCCATACACCAATGTACAATAAATATAAAAATAAAAAAAATATTCATCAAAAGTATTCTGAACACAGGTACTAATTTATCCATAGTAACAGAATACTATCCAGTCACTCCACATGGCTCTGTGCTCTGCCCCTTTGTGCAATTAGTGGAAACATGGCCACATCAAAGGTCTCCTGCAGATCCATTTGACATTCACGAATTATTCTTTTGATAAAAAAATGTTGCTTAGAGGTTTATTCATAATCCTAAAACAATCACAAACACCCAGACACACCATGGAAAGAGCCGTGACGTCACAAATATATTAAAATACAAAATACTCAGATATGCATGAAAGCCACAGAAACCTATCACGAGTGTATGAATGAAAGAGGAAAATCTACAAAAAGCTGACTTGTGTGTTTTTTATCCCTGTCTTTCATTATGGGAAACATACTTTGTGCATTTGGAAACTCAAAACGCTGAATAAAAGAAGTAGAGTTTGGTTTCACAGAGCGGCAAAATGTAGCAACAGATGCAAGTCGTGTGGGAGGCTCAGGGTTTGCCATAAATTCTCACACTGAGAAGAGGAAGCACCGTGTGGAGAGCATCTTTTGGCCACATTTGGTGTCTAATCGTGGGTAAAATAAATGTGTGGTGCTGTAGGTAGAGAGGTGGGCAGAAGGTTGAAAATAAATGTGTTAAAATGAATTATTATAACATGTGTATAAAACATTTCTTCTGCTTCTTGTTTTGGGTTTACGGCGGTGGGCAAGCAACCTTTTGGTGTGCATTTACTGCCACCTTCTGGACTGGAGTGTGACCCAGATATTTAACTTTCTATATACTCTTTATCATTGTTAAACCAGCATTGACATAATTTGACCACAGAATAATACCCAGCCTGCTTTGTGCCTGGATATTATTATTGCATATTGAAATCTTGACCTTGATAGTTCCATAGTGTCCTCTGTCCAAAAACATCACATGCAAATCAGTAAATAAAAAAATAAAAACATTATTCCGACCTCGTTTGACAATTTATTGATAAACCTTTTTGTTAATGCTCCAATTGTAGTGTAGAGAATGCGTGTTAATCAGTGTGGGCGGGTCCCGGTTCCAAAAGGTCCATGAGCAGGTGCGCTGTCATGCTGCGGTCTCTCTCCGGGTTGGTGGGGGTGTACCCGGAACAAGAATGACCCAATGCTTTTGTATGGTGCCCTCGTTCCTCTAGAAAATGTCTTTTCAGCATGGTCCAAAAGTGGGTCTTGGTCCAAAAGTGGCTCTTGGTCCAAAAGTGGGTCTTGGTCCAAAAGTGGCTCTTGGTCCAAAAGTGGCTCTTGGTCCAAAAGTGGGTCTTGGTCCAAAAGTGGCTCTTGGTCCAAAAGTGGCTCTTGGTCCAAAAGTGGCTCTTGGTCCAAAAGTGGTTCTTGGTCCAAAAGTGGCTCTTGGTCCAAAAGTGGCTCTTGGTCCAAAAGTGGTTCTTGGTCCAAAAGTGGCTCTTGGTCCAAAAGTGGTTCTTGGTCCAAAAGTGGCTCTTGGTCCAAAAGTGGCTCTTAGTCCAAAAGTGGCTCTTGGTCCAAAAGTGGTTCTTGGTCCAAAAGTGGCTCTTGGTCCAAAAGTGATCTTGGTCCAAAAGTGGTTCTTGGTGGTTCTTGGTCCAAAATTGGTTCTTGGTCCAAAAGTGGGTCTTGGTCCAAAAGTGGCTCTTGGTCCAAAGCTACGTTCCAGATCCTGTCAATGTCGAGGGGAGTATATATATATTTTTGGACCAGTCTAGTTTAGCCGCTGTGGACTTTTGAATGCACTTTGTTAAATGAATGGGGCTAGTGCAGCTAACGCATGCGCCTCGGCCATTTTGAAAAAGCCACAGAAGGTGAAAGTGGTGGTACATTAGTTTCAATGACGGAGATAGAAGTGACTGTGTTCGTTAATGTTTACAGTCTATGGCAGGGGTGTCCAAACTTTAGAGTAAGAGGGCCACTTTAGTTCATCAGACTTGACCTGGGGCCGAGAACCTGGACTTAAAAAAACTGGATTTGAGCTGAATTGACTGGATTCTTGAATTTTAAAGAGGTTATTATACTGTAGATCCTTATTGATTCACAGCTGCATTTAGTTTTGAACATTATGACACAATCAAAAATAAATAACAATAGACATGGCTGGTCTATGGTATTAAAATAGCTAATGCTGATACAAACACAGTAACTATACAATATTCGGCTGTGTATAAATATGAATTGTCCGGTCTGTAAGTTGCAGCTCTGCGCCCGGTGCACAGCGGCGTTCTTGCAGCACATGCAGGAAAGGTCAGGCCAAAGCAGAGCAGAAGGAGTGCCATTTGAAGGGCAAGTCCACCTCTTCAAAGCATCCAGGCAAAGGGCAAAACAGACACACCACAAGGGGCTGGTCAAGAGAAATATATTCATCAGAACTTTAGATAAAGCGCTATTGTCGGAAATGTTCGTTCTATAATTGACATTCTAGTTCAATTATAAATGTAAGAATGTCAACATCAATGAGAATGTCATTACTCTATAATTGATCCAGATTTGACCTTCTGAGGGGTTTCAGATTTGAGAAGAATTGTATGATCTACGGTCATGAGTTCTAACGGCTAAAGTATAAACTACAAGCGGTTGAAATGAGTTCCCCGGTGAGTTTCTGGGTGCTCAGAAACATTGAAGGAGCTCTGAGTAGAGAATCTCTCCAACGCACAACAGATAAAGTGGATGATTACTTTGACGATTCATTAATCCGGTGTGATGTTGTTGCTTCTTGTCGGACAGAATGGTTTAGAAAGAGACTTTTTGACAGATGCATTTACACGGTCCCATTAGTACAGAACATTTATTTGGACCAGAAAAAAATGCATAATAATAATAGGAGCACAGGGACTGGTCTCCTGCTGGGACTCTGAGGAGCACAGGGACTGGCCTCCTGCTGGGACTCTGAGGAGCACAGGGACTGGCCTCCTGCTGGGACTCTGAGGAGCACAGGGACTGGTCTCCTGCTGGGACTCTGAGGAGCACAGGGACTGGCCTCCTGCTGGGGCTCTGAGGAGAACAGGGACTGGTCTCCTGCTGGGACTCTGAGGAGCACAGGGACTGGCCTCCTGCTGGGACTCTGAGGAGCACAGGGACTGGTCTCCTGCTGGGACTCTGAGGAGCACAGGGACTGGCCTCCTGCTGGGACTCTGAGGAGCACAGGGACTGGTCTCCTGCTGGGACTCTGAGGAGCACAGGGACTGGTCTCCTGCTGGGACTCTGAGGAGCACAGGGACTGGCCTCCTGCTGGGACTCTGAGGAGCACAGGGACTGGCCTCCTGCTGGGACTCTGAGGAGCACAGGGACTGGCCTCCTGCTGGGACTCTGAGGAGCACAGGGACTGGTCTCCTGCTGGGGCTCTGAGGAGCACAGGGACTGGTCTCCTGCTGGGACTCTGAGGAGCACAGGGACTGGCCTCCTGCTGGGACTCTGAGGAGCACAGGGACTGGTCTCCTGCTGGGACTCTGAGGAGCACAGGGACTGGTCTCCTGCTGGGACTCTGAGGAGCACAGGGACTGGTCTCCTGCTGGGACTCTGAGGAGCACAGGGACTGGTCTCCTGCTGGGACTCTGAGGAGCACAGGGACTGGTCTCCTGCTGGGACTCTGAGGAGCACAGGGACTGGCCTCCTGCTGGGACTCTGAGGAGCACAGGGACTGGCCTCCTGCTGGGACTCTGAGGAGCACAGGGACTGGCCTCCTGCTGGGACTCTGAGGAGCACAGGGACTGGTCTCCTGCTGGGACTCTGAGGAGCACAGGGACTGGTCTCCTGCTGGGACTCTGAGGAGCACAGGGACTGGTCTCCTGCTGGGACTCTGAGGAGCACAGGGACTGGTCTCCTGCTGGGACTCTGAGGAGCACAGGGACTGGCCTCCTGCTGGGACTCTGAGGAGCACAGGGACTGGCCTCCTGCTGGGACTCTGAGGAGCACAGGGACTGGCCTCCTGCTGGGACTCTGAGGAGCACAGGGACTGGCCTCCTGCTGGGACTGACTCTGAGGAGCACAGGGACTGGCCTCCTGCTGGGACTCTGAGGAGAACAGGGACTGGTCTCCTGCTGGGACTCTGAGGATCACAGGGACTGGCCTCCTGCTGGGACTCTGAGGAGAACAGGGACTGGTCTCCTGCTGGGGCTCTGAGGAGCACAGGGACTGGCCTCCTGCTGGGACTCTGAGGAGCACAGGGACTGGTCTCCTGCTGGTCCCAGAGTCAGACCTAAGCATGAGGAGGCAGCATTTCAGAGTCATGCTGCTAAAATCCTGAACAATCTTCAAAAAAATGTGAGACAGGCTTTTGACGATTTTAAAACCAGGTTGTTCAGCACTTTGACTTGCCTTGTGTATAAATTGTGCGATGGGGAGGAGGAGGGTTGTAGCATGGGTTGTGGCATGTTGATTAGCAGAAGCACAGTGTAGTGGGACTGGACTGGACTGAGATAGTTCCTGAGAACTTAGAACTCCAGTCTTCAAGCCTGAACTTCCATTTCAGAAATAAATTATAAACGTGAAATCTTCCTTTGCTGAAAAAGAGTTTTATTTTTCAGACATATTCGTAG